CTCAGCCAGTGAGCGGGAACCGGTCTGTATGTGGGATCCGAACCCTCGGGTGGGAGCGCCGCTGCGCTTCCCAAGCGGCGCACTTATCCAGTGCGCCACCGGGCCGGCCCTAAAGTAGCAGCTTTGAGTTTTAAGTTTTCTCGTGGTCAATGAAATCTATAGCAGTCAGCGTGGTGTAAATGTCAGCAAATATTTTGTGCAAGTTACACGTTCAACATCAACTTACTTGACAGAAGATCAGTACTTAAATTTTCATTCAACACTTGTTTTTTTATTTCCTCACTGCTGGAAGGGTTTATTGCAAAATTTAAAAGAATTGCTAAATAAAATAACAAACATATAGTTGTGGGTTTGTGCCTTGCAATAAATGACGACACCACTGTAACAAGAGCTTCCAGACTCCTCCAAATGCTCTGGCTCAGGACGGCTCAGCCTCCGCATGTCACGAAGTTTCACAGCCACCAAACCATCACCGCCCAAGTTTTCCACTGGCCTCCCAGCAGCTGGTCTCTTCTCTGTCTCTTCTCTCCCTTGGTGATTTCATCTGGTCTTGTGGCTTTAAATACCAGCCGGCTGATTACAACTCCCAGTTATGTATCATCATCTCAGATCTCGTCCCTGAATGCCACCAGACTTGTACACCTACTCGCCCACTAGACATGCCCACCTGATGTCCAGGAGAGAGCTCAACTTTCACAAGTCCAAAACTGAACTCCTGGTCTTCCCCTGAAAAAAACTGTTCCATCTTCACTCCGCTGTCTCAATTTCTGTTGTTGACAACTTCATGTTTACAAGTGCTCAGGCCAAAAACCTTAACACCACTCGACTCCTTTCTCACACCCAAATTCGGCTGAAAATCATGGTGGTATTACCTTCAGAATATCACTTCTCACCACCTCCACGGCTACCCCTCCCCTGCTGTCACCTGCTAACATATTTATTTAGGATGTTTACTCTTTACCAACCCTCTCCTCCCACTGGGCTGTAAGCACACAGAAGGCAGGGAATTTTTGCCTGTTTATTCACTGCTGTGTCCCAAATCCCTAGAACAGTGCCTGGCACATTGTAGGTGCTCAGTAAATACTCATCCAGTGGAGGAACCAGTGAATTATACCCCAGTGTGAATGACTCAGTGTGTGAGTGACGTGAAAGAATGTCACAGCTAGAAGGGACTCTTAAGGTGATCGTGTCCTCCTCAGATGAGGAAAGTCAGGCTCAGAGACATGAAGTGACTTACCTGATGTCACACAGCCAAATAAACTTCCAAGATTGATTCTCTCTTATACTTTATCTTTTGTTAGATACTTCAAGGCTCTGCCTAGTCAAAGGAATCTCAAGCATCAGTGAGTAATGACAATAATGATAATAGGACTTAACGTTTATCGATCACTTATGACAAGTCAGAAACCCTCTTAAGCACTTTGTGTGTATTAACTTTTTCAGGTAGCGGAAGGATTTTTAGGTGCTGGAGCTCATCTGGAGCCTCAGAAATCCCACAGTGCAGCCAGCTCCTCACTCCACGTGTGTGACTTTGTGCGTCCCCTGAGTTGGCTGTGGCCAGCTTTGCTGGCAGGCACCCACAAATCCAAACCCACAAGTACAGGATGTGATCCTTTCCCTCATGAGATCACAGAAGGCTGGGAGACATGGTCTACCCTAAGGAAGGAGGCAAGCTTTCCTTTCCTGCTATACTCCTTCTCCTGCCGAAACTCGGTGTAGGTGACTGGAAGGCAGGTCGCCATGTGGCTATGAATGTGGCCTTTGTGGTCAGGGCAGACCAAGGTTCATAGCCTGGTGATGTCTCACCAGCTAGGTCTCCTCCAACAGGCTGGTCACCTTCTCTGAGGCCGGCTCACTCCTCCACCCAGTGAGGATGAAAACTGCAGCAGCAAAGAGTAGACAGCCACAGAGCCTCTCTGATCAGACTAGACGGCCCGAGTTCATCCAGGCTCCACTACTGAACAGCCACGTGACCTCGGACAAGTGACTCAGGGTCTCAGCATTCACTTTTCCAAGTGGTCAAATGGAGATGACCACAGCCCCTACCCCACAGGGCTGCTGGGAAGATTAAGTCAGAAAACACTTAAATGTAAAACACTTAGAACGGTGCCTGGAACACAGAGACCATTTAATACATCATAGTTGCTATTCTGATTATTTTATTACTCATATTTTTCAAGCCTAGCTGAGGAAGCTTCTCATTCTGGAAACCTTTCACCATTGCCCCCATTCTGTCCACCCTACCAGTCCCAGCCCCCCAAAGAGCAGCTTCCCACTTGGCTGTGCCTCTTCCTAGCCTCTGTTTAATTCCATCTTAGGTCATGACCAATGTCTCCTTGTCTGCAACCCCTGCAGATGGTGAGCACCATGAGGTTGGGGCTGTTCTGTCCTGTGTATCTCCAGTACCTTGCAACATGCTGGCACAAAGTAGGTGCTCATTAAATGTGTGTTAAATGCTAATAATAACAATATGGTCACATATGAGACTAATTGCCACCTCCCACTGAGCCTTTCCTCTATGACAGGCACCATACCAAGCACTCTATAGATACTATCACCACCCTTGTCACAATCCCACAAGAGGGATATGATTTGCTCAAGTTTTTTAAAAGGAGAGTAAAAG